GCTTCTTTCACTCAGTGTAATGCCTATTGTTATAACCCTAATTTGTTGGGTATATCAACACTTTATTCCTTTTTATTGCTGAGTAGTATTCCAACAGGATCAGCTTCTGAGATTTTCCCCAGGTCAATAAATGATATCACACTATTCTTCCAGTTACTTGGGCCAAAAACCTTGGCATCATCCTTGATTCTTCTTTCACCTGTACAACCAATCCCTTAGCAAATCCTGGTGGCTTTATTTGCAAAATACACCTAGAATCTTCTTACTCCCCCCACTGCTGTCATCTAGTTCAGGCCACCATCATCTTCTGTCAAGACTAGTGCTTCCACTCTTACTCCCCCCACCTTCATAGTCTATTCTCCACACAATATCTAGAATTATCCTTTTAGAGACTTAAGTCTGATCAAGTCACTCTTCTGCTCAAAACTCTCCAGTGATTTCAGTGGTAAAAATCCAAAGAGGTCTTCATGGCCTACAAGACCCTGCAAGATTGGGCCCCTGGCTACCTCTCTGATCTCATCTCCTACCACTCTCCCTGTTACTCTCTATCAACTATAGTGGTCTTCCTGCTATTACTATAGCATGTCAAGCATATTCCTGCCTCAGATCATTTGAATTTTCTGTTGCCTCTGTCTGGAACACTCCCTAGCTATCCACATTCCAGTTTCTGCTTAAATGTCCCTTATCAATGCCTAACATCTACAATATCAGCTACCTGACACCACTGTCTACCCCTTACCTTGCTGTGTTCTTCTTCATAGCACATATAGATTTGTTTCTCTGTCTCCCTACACTAGAAAGATCCTTTAAAACAAGGGTTTTCTTTTTCTTGTTGTTCAATGCTCAACAAGCACCTACATGAGTGCCTTCCCTGGCATACAGTGGGAGTTCAACAAATATTTTTGATTGAATAAATTATAGAAATGACAGGATGGAAGTACATGCAGATTTCTACATTTTAGGGCATTCTACATTATCTGTTACTTATATGTATAGTAAGATAGTTAGGCCCTGGCCGGTTTGGCTCAGCGGTTAGAGCTTTGGCCCGCGGTCCCAAGAGACACGGGTTTGGTTCCCGCTAAGGGCATGTACCTCGGTTGCAGTTTGTCCCCGGCCCTGGTTGGGTTGTGCGGGTGGCAGCCACGCGATGTGTCCCTTTCACATCGATGTTTCTCTCTCTCTCTCCCTCCCACTCTATCTGAACAAAAAATGGAAAAATGTCCTCGGGTGAGGATTAAAAAAAAAAAAAAAAGATAGAGGAAGTGTTGGGTTAGAGATCTGCAGAAATAGTGAAGAGCAAGTTAACTAGAAAAATATAATGAAGTTTCCAGGCACTATTCATAGTCCATTTAAGGTAGAAATTAACTTAGTGATGCCAAAAAATTAGCAAGAGCAGGATTGTAATGATGTACCATAGAATCTAAGGTGAATAAGGAGGTAAGTGAAGAGTGAGGATTAAGCACAGGCTTTCAACATATTGAAGGTCCTGATAAAGTGGAGAAAAAAGTTATGGTGAAGTTTTTGAGCAGTCAAGCTGAAAGTGTATCAGGCTGTGGTTGGACAGACGGATGTTCAAATTATTGATTCCTGACCTGACAGCATTTCCGGTGATAAGATCCTGGGATTGGGAGGCTAATTAAAGGTCACTAAAGATGACGCACGGATGTTAAATGGGTTGCCCACATTGACTATGAAATTATTAAGATGGGAGACAGAGGAGAGAAAGTAAGACAAGGGGCTGGATGAACAAATAAGCAGATGCTCTCTAGAGGCGGCTAAATGGATGGAGAGTCTTGAGAGTAAGCGTGGGAGAAGTAACGGTCTTTAGGAGGTGAGACAGTGTTTGGCACATAATCCCCACCTTTGGAACCTGGGAAGTAAGACTACTAATCCATGTGAGGGTGGTTCCAAGGGATGCCTCAAAGGACAGCCATATCTCAGTCCACGAAGGAATGGAGTTCAGAGAGTTGATTTGCAAGCGGGAATCTCAGAGGGAGACCGGCTTGACGTTTGAGGCTGGGGAGGGGACCGAAGCAACAGAAAACACTTACACTCCTTGTGCTCTATTTACCGTCCTCCCAACCTGCCGCCCGCGCCACACCAACCTCTGTAACCCAGAAAATGCTCAGACAAAATTAAGAACACCGACTCTTTTTCAACTCCCCGCGGAAATGCTCACATTAGAGCCCCTCCGTGCCCGCGCTTTCCCATTGGCGAAGGCTTCCGCCAGCTTAGATCCGCTTCCGTTCACGACTTAGTTGGGCGGAGCCGTCCCTAGAAGTCACTTCCGTCTGGCCCGCCCTCGATTCCTTTTTGGCCGCTTCCGGTTTCAGGCCGCACCCCATCCTGTGCGGCCCCGCCCTTCCCTCCCTCCCCCCCCCGCCCTTCCCTCCCTCCCCCCCGCCCAGGGCCGACAGGCGGGCCCCGCGGCGCCGCTTCCGGTGCGGGCCCCGCCCCGGCTGTGGCCCCCGACTGCGGACAAGTCCGAGACTCCGTTGTAGCGCCGGGGCCCGAGCCGTTGCCTGCTCTGCCGCCGGCAGACCTGCAGCGCCCCGCGTAGGTAAGCCGCGCGGCCCAGCTCCCAGTCGCGGCGGGAGCGGGCGCTGTAGCAGGTGGAGGGGCGGAGAGGTAAAAGGGAGGCAGGTGTGCACGGATAGACGTGAAGACGTTGGCCGGCGGAGCGCGCGGGTTGAGGAGGAAAAGTGAGAGCACAGGGAGGAGACCGGAGACGCCCTGCACCCATTAGGGTGATTGGAGATAAAGGGATGGGCCAAGTAAGGTCGACCCGGGAACTGAGAAGACGGGGTAGGTGGGGTTGGGGCGATCAGAGAAGAGCCAGCGGATTGGCTGCGAGGGTTTGGTAGAGGTAAAAGTGATAGGGCTGGATTGGGGGGTATAAAGAACCGGGGAGGGGGGAAAGTAACCGGGGAGAGAGGTAGGGGGTTTGAAGGGGGCCAAGGCTAGAGATCCCACAGCGAAGGTAGAGGGAATGGTGAGCGAGGCCGGGCTCAGCGCTGCCAGCAGTCCAGTCCATTTCTTCGGACTTCGTGGTCCGGGAACTTTAGGGGAAATGGGGGAGGAGGCCGTGTGAAAGGATGGAATAAATGGCTTAGATTTCTGAGACAAGTTTCTAAATGTAGGCAGGTGGAATTGTTGTTTGGAACGACTGGTTGCTTTGGGACGGGGAAAGACGGGCTTTTGGGGGGAGGGTGTGTGTATTGAGTTGTAGAACTGAGTCATTTCAGTCTTACTAAAGAGGCACCCTCCTCTGTTGGGGACAGCATACAGAGGAGATGGTGCCACGCGAATCAGTTGTTCAGTGACTGGCAGGTCTTGGTTGAAGATTTCCTGCTCGTGATGACTGTAATTATTATAAGAAAATTTAAAATGGCCAACGAGATATTTGTTTTATTCTTTTGTTTAATTTTCTTTGATGCAAATTGTTTTTATTTTAAATGAACACTTTTACTGACTGGATTTAATGTGATGTAAACCTTTTCCTGCTTTGTTACACTATAAAAAAGGCTAAAGCAGAATTAAAGTATGCTAAAGGGCTAAGAGTGGAATTAAAGGTACTAGGAGGCAAATTGGAATTTGAATCTTTCTCAGAATACAAAAGGCAAAAGCAGTGCTTCTAAGATAAACATAAAATTAGACTTTTATCTTTTTTTTGCCTTTATTTTACTTTTTTAAAAAATAAAATAACAATTTTATTATATTTTAATTAATCATCACCCGAGTATATTTTTCCATTGATTTTTAGATAGAGTGGATGGAAAGGAGTGACAGAGAGAGAAACATCAATGTGAGAGACATCGATTGGTTGCCTCCCACACGACCCCAACCAGGGCCAGGGATCAAACCTGGGACCCTTTGGTCCACAGGCCGAAGCTCCAACCACTGAGCCAAACTGGCCAGGGCTATTTTACTTTTTTTCAGTCCTTGATGATATGTTTTATTTTGTTTTGTTTTATTGACTTTAGAGAGAGGAAGAGTGAGAGAGAGAGAAACATCAATGTGAGAGAAACACCAATCAGTTGCCTCCTGTACCCGGGGATCAAACCCAAAACCTGGGTATGTGACCTGACTGGGAATTGAACCCACGACCTTTCAGTGCACAGGATGACACTCCAACCAACTGAGCCACACTGGCCAGGGCTTTTTTTGCTGAGCTTTAAAAATTAGATCTATAACCCATTAAACTATTTACAAATCAAGCAGTGCTTATTATTAGGGGTGTCATTACTTCCCCATGAATTTTTTTTTTTTTTTTTTTTTTTTTATCCTCACCCGAGGATATTTTTCCATTTCTTGTACAGATAGAGTGGGAGGGAGAGAGAAGAAGGGAGAGAGAGAGAAACATCGACGTGAAGGGACACATCGAGTGGCTGCCACCCGCACGACCAACCAGGGCCGGGGACAAACTGCAACCGAAGTACGTGCCCTTAGCGGGAACCGAACCCGGGTCTCTCCGGACCGCAGGCCGACGCTCTAACCGCTGAGCCAAACCGGCCAGGGCCCCCATGAATTTTTGAAGATGCTGGACATTTAGTTTTTTTTCTTAACCTTTCCACCCAATCCTAAAACAATGGAACAATGCAAATATCAAGTCCCAGCCTGTTCAGTGCATTCTCCTTTTATGAGATGATAACATTGTATGCCATATTGCAAGCCCTGTTCACCTAAAATTTGCCCAAGCATAGTAGTAGTCCCCATTCAGTTATGGATCCTTGCTGAAGAAGCATAACTCAAGTGATGCTTGTTGTGGGTAGGGACTTGGAGAGGAGGAAGGGATTGGGGAGTAAGAGGAAGAGAGCATGTGAAAGGGGTATATATTTGTAGACTGATGGGTAAGAATGCTGATAAACCAGCGCCCAGAATGCTTTTGACCTGAAAGCCTTTATTTTTGTATTCATCATAGAAATAGTAGAAGTGAATCACAAAGAAGGGGAATGTGGCCCTGGCCAGTTTAGCTCAGTGGTTGGAGTGTTGGCCTGTGGACCGAAGGGTCTTGGTAAATGGCACATGCTTGGGTTGCAGGTTCAATCTCTGTTCCCAGGTAGGTTGGGCGTGGTCGGGCTCATGCAGGTGGCAACCAGTGGATGCCACCTGATGTCACATTGATGTCTGTCTGTCTGTCTCTCTCTTTCTCTCTCTCTCTCCCCCTCTCTCTCACCCCCTATCTCCCTCCCTCCCTCCCTCCCTCCCTCCCTCCCGCTCTTCCACTCTCTGAAAAATCAATGGAAAAATATCCTCAGTTGAGGGTTAACAAAAAAAGAAAAAGAAATGGGATGTGAAGAATTTACATGGCTGTTTATAAAAAGAAGCATTAACTTGTTGTTTAGATAATATTGATAAATTAATGAACTTTAAAATCTCTAGAGGAATTTCCCCATTTGTTCTTGCCTCCTTGGGGGGCATACATTCTTTTATGTTGTTGAAGTTGCATTCTTTTGAGGTTAGAATGTCTAGTTGGCATGGCCCAGCCCACTTGAAAAGCAGGCTGGCAATTTCATCTGGGAAATTTGAAGTTTGGAACCAAGAGCAGTTTGCTAGATTCTTCTTTTCTTTGGAAGAAATCACTCTGCCTGTTAGCTCTGTGTCTAGCTTGGATGATAATTTCTTTCTCTGATGGGCCTGAGAATATAAGCAGTATTTTCTTTTTTGGAGGCAAGTCCTTCTTTTCCTTTATTATTGTGGTTTTCATACACACAACCTTTGTACAGTGCGAACCCAGTTGCCTTTCCAGTAATAAACAGATTAATGTTTGGTAATGCTAAAGGAGAGAGATCAGAACACAGATGTTTATAGACTTGATTTTGTCTGGATTTACTTCTTTTTAAACCCACAGTAGTTTATCACTACTGAGATTTATTTATCTCATATTTCCCTCTTAAATCCTGTTCTTCCTCTTCACACCCTTCCCTACCTACCCATCCCTGAAACTCCACCACTCACTTGTCTTAAAATTCAGAATTGGGAGCAAATGTTTAGAGTTCAGAACTCATACCCTTTACTGAAGAAATGAAAGCTTTTTTTATACCTGTTTTACATAGTTTTGTTTTTTGTTTTTTTGTTTTTTTCCCCTTTGTGGTTTCTATTAATCACTTAAGGTTTAGACCCAGTGTGCCTGCTGGGCTGTGCCCAGGTTCAGAGCCATGCCAATCGGTGGGTGAAGTGCTTGAGGCCCTGATGGAACCGCTGCAGCAGCAGCCACCGCAGCAGCAGCCACCCAACCTAGCTCTTCTGGGAATGGATGCCAGAGAGAAGCAGGGACAGCAGATAAGAGAAGACCAGTTCTTGTATGCCCAGAAGCTGGTCACACAGACTCTTCTTTCTGCCACACCAGGGCGGCCTTCTGGCAGCCCTTCCCTGGGTCCCTTAGCCAGAGTTCCTCCGGCCACAGCAGTGACCCAAGTCTTTGAACGGAGCAACATGAACTCAGAGCCTGAGGAAGAGGAGGGAGGCTTGGAAGATGAGGATGGGGATGATGACATTGCAGAGGTGGCTGAGAAAGAGGCCCAGGCTGCTTCAAAATATTTTCATGGGCAAAAACTGGCTCGCCAAGACCTCAGAGTGGCACCCAAATCTGGTCTTCCAGCACCAGGGCTCCCACCACATGGACAGCAAGCTCAAGAAGATCATATTAAAGATGCTGCCAAGGCCCCACCTTCAGTCTCTACTGCTGGGCGGCCAGGCTGGAATCAGGATGAGCAGCTCAAGCAGGTCAGTCTTTCTGATGTGGGGGTCATTTGTTCTTCCTAAAGGCTAGCCAGAGAGGGGTACTGGACTGCCAGGGCCAGGGTCTGTGCCAGTCTATGCTTCCTCACCCTGCTTCCGTGACCAGCAGCCTAGGCATGAATAGACTTTGAATTTTTTCGTCACACTTGTTTTCTTGATTAAAACAAAGAAATGTATAAGTTACTGCTCATATAGATTGTTCCAAGTTTGAAGTGAAAGAATGTCAGTACAGTTTTTGTTTTTTTAAGGAAGGATGTTATGAAAGCTATGTAAAAATGAGATGTGTGACTCGAATTAGTTTTTCTAGTAGTAATGTAAAAGAAGAATCTTGCCTAAGACAGTTTCTTAGCTTTAGGCTGATGCAGGATCAAGCTCTTTAAGGACATTTTTGTTGTTTTGCCACTAAACGTAGCTGACAAGAAGCGTTTGCATTGTGTTTGTTTTCTAACTAAGAGCCTTGTAGACGAGATTTCATTTCATAGGAAAGGGTAGATCTCAGAACTCCCATTTTAGTCAAGGCAAGCTTAAGTGATTTTTAAACATAGCTGAACATTAGCATCATCTAGTGAACTTTTAACAAATATATAGATTGCAGGGTCCTAATGAATTATATCAGGGTGGAGCCCAAGGAGTCTGTTCTCAACCAAGCCTTTGACTTCTAATTCCTCTTCTCTTTCTGATCTGCAAAGCAATTTTTTCTCACCCAAAGAATGGGAGTACTGTTAAGTTGTTCTAGGTAAAGTGATTTATTGGTGCTTAGGCAGGGAGCTCATGATAAAGCTAGTAATATCTACATACTCCCCATAGCACATATTCTTCTTGTGGTCCAATGGTGCTGTTTAGAAATCAGTTATGAAGAGCTGTGGATTTTCACAGGGTAACTAGAAGTCACATAAGAAAAGTTCTTTAGCATTTCAAAAATCAGCTTCTTTGTATAAAGGAACTTATGCAGTTCATCTGAGTTTACTGTAGCGGAATTGGCAGGAAATGTCCAGATCCAATAGAGCAGGGTTCAAATCCCATCTCTTCTGTTTATTACTCTTGTGATCTATTTTTTTTTTTTTTTATCCTCACCCAAGGACATGCATTTCTCTTCAGATAGAGTGGGAGGGAGAGAGGGAGGAAAAGAGAGCAAAACATCGACATGAGAGAGACACATTGAGTGGTTGCCACCCACACCACCCCAACCAGGGCTGGGGACAAACTGCAACTAAGGTATGTGCCCTTAGTGGGAACCGAACCCGGGCCTCTCCGGTCCACGGGTTGACGCTCTAACCACTGGGCCAAACCGGCCAGGGCTACTCCGTGATCTTTTGATAGAGCTCTTCATCTCTCGGAGCCTGTGTCTTCTCACAGATTTTTTTTTTCATTTACTTAAAAGGTACTTTTTATTGTAATCACCCGTTGCAAAATGACAATCACACACCCTTATGAAAAGTGTACAGAAGTTATCAAACTTAGTGGCTAGCAGAGAGATATTTAAATATTTTGCGAATTTACTTGCCAACAGAACAAAAAAAATTTTAGAAGGGGAGTCCAAGGCATTTTTTGGGTCCATATTGCTTTCATTCTGTTGGCATACCATTTCTCTTGTCTGATCCAATGCTGAACTCAGTGTTAAAGAAGTGCCACATTTTGAAAAGGTGACTGAACACAAGCAGAAGACAGAACTGGTACAAAATGTACCAGGGAACAAATGAATTAGCACATTCTGTCAGGCCTCACTCTTGAAGAATGGCACCTTGTTTGTTAATTGAAAAGAAATGTAAAATGGGGGAGATAGGAAAAAAATATTAATAAGATAAAAGATTCTGACTTTTTTTCCTCCCCTTTCTTGACTTACTACAGCACACTGTAATGTTTCATAGACTTGAATTTTCATGTATTATTCTGATAATCTGTAGGGAGCTTAGAATGGGCTGCCAGAGAAACAGTCTATGGTTGAACGTTCTTTCAAGAGAAAGGACTTCTATCAGGCCTGCCGAGGGAACAGGAGGAGTTGTGAGGATTAACTGAGCTAGCACGTGGTATGTGGTAGTGCTCCAGGTGCTCTTGAATACAATCAGTGCCATCTCTGTTGATTCTGCATAGACTTGCTCTGAGTCAGGGAAGATGCTGAGACACACAGAGGTTTTCCCTCAGATCACCAGGGAGGTAGTGGCAGAGGTAGCACAAGAATCAGAAAAGCCCAACTTCCACGACAGCAGCAACCTGGCCACCAGCCCAGACTTGCCTCCCGGCTGATTGCTCTGGTTTAGCAAGACATCTGAGAGTTGCCGGCAGCCCCTGCACTATTGGGTGGTTGGCCGGGTTCCATGCTGGCCAATGAGTCAGCTTTTAGTGGGATCCCGCCCTGACAACACTGGGAAGTTCAGGCCAGAGGCTGCTCGCCTGCCCCTGCCTTGGCAGCTGGCCAGCCTTTGCATGTGTTCGGTTGTTCCTAGAAAGTGCAGCTGCATGCGAGGAACAAGTGGAGCTCCAGAGCCTGTCTATCTTCAGGAAGTGTGGCAGGTGTTGAGGTCAAGCCATTAGAGCTTAGAAAAAAGGCTCTTCAGAACTGGTGTGTACGTACATGTGTGGGCATGGTGGCAGGCACCCAGTGCTGTGTTCTAGACAGCATCAGCCCCATGGCTATACAACTCTGTGCTCAGGAGACTGGCTGTTGGCTTCTGAAACTCTTTCACTTCATGTTAAGTCTCTGAGGCATACTCATTAATTTTAGACTGCCTGGCAGAGCACTGCCAAAATGTTTTATAAATGCCAGCATAGCTGAGGCCTAATTTTGCCCCTTGAATTTACCTTTCCCCTGGATTTAGAGATCAGGAATTAGGTAACGATGACGAAACCTTACATGTGTACCTCCTTTTCCTTCTGAATTTAATTTTACAAAATCAGTTTGGTCTGCCCTCCTCCTTTTTCTGATTTTGCTTTTAAACCAGTAAACAATGGGCTTGGGGATTTAAAAAACATATTTTTTAAGTTGTGCTTTGGAAGAGGGGCTAAAAAATTATCATTGGGAGAATCTATAGAAACCATTAGGAACCATGAGACTGGTTTTTTGTTTGTTTTTTGTTGTTTTTGTTCAAAGTCTTTTGTTTCTTAAGCAGTTACTTACTAGGTAAAAGAAATAAAGAATCTCTTGCTCCAGCAATAGTGACAAAGATTGACACAAAATGATCTCATTGTTACTGTGCTGCAGCATTCATTTTGTTCTTTTGCACAACAAAGTTTTAGAGAGGCTTCTCTGGGCCAGGCCTGTGCTCCATAGACTAAGGCATGCTTCTCCCTCAAGGACCTCATCATGGTCTAGGAGGGGCAGTGTGGGAAGAGGGGTGATGGGTTTTGGGTTGTAACAATTTCACTCAGTCCTGAGTCAGCTGAAGCATAACTGCTTACTCTGGGCTATACTGCAGATACTTTATTTTTTAAATGTTTTTATTGATTTTAGAGAGAAAAGAAGGGGAAGGGGGAAGGAGAGAGAGGGGGAGAGAGAGAGAAACATTGATGAAAGAGAACTATCTATCGGCTGCCTTGCGCACGCGCCCCACTGGGGATTGAGCTCGAAACCCAGGCGTGTGCCCTGACGGGAATCAAACCAGCGACCTCTCAGTGCATGAGACCACATGAAACCAACTGAGCCACACTGGCCAGGGCTATGCTGCAGATACTTTAAAACAAGGTTTTGCTTCAAACATTCACACACCAAAGTAAAAGAATTAATTTTGTCTATAGCATAGCTAGTATAACTTGGTATACCAACAGTAATACTCAAAGGTATTTTGCAAGATTTTGATGTGTAGAAGAGGCAGCACACATCTGCCAACTGAAAATCAAAAGCTGAAAAGCTTAAGGGCTCCACAGATTATCTTTTGCTTCTGAAATGCCCTTTTTAGAACATGTGAAGTCAAAATAATTTCATGGATTCTCTTTGAAAAAACTTTTAGAAAATAATTGCTTTTAAGCCTGGATCTTTAGAGTGTTGGATTTTCTGACACCAGAGTGGTGGCAAGATGAATAATGCCACTGAGCACAGGGTTCTAAAACCAATCAGATTTCAATGGGCAGAGTAAATAATTGTAAAACAAGACAACAGATAAAGAACGGAGTGGCTCTTCTCTTAAGGGAGCTCAGTAGAGCCCTGTCAGCACACAATTGAATTGGGGGTTTTCCTGGCCTATTAGGGGTAGTCTTCTGTCCTCCTGAAAAGAGAGTAGTTCAGGCAGTACAGGTGTTTGTCTTAAACCCATTAGTGGAGCCAGGTATCCAGAAAGGGCATAAACTCTCTCCCATAAAATAGAAAGGTGAGTGATGGCTTGATAGTCATGTGGGAGCTAGAGTGTGTGGGTCTGATTTTCTGCATACTTTGGCAGCCACTTCAGTTACTGAGTGTGGGAAACAAAAAGGATGACTGACTGCTTGGTCTCCAGAATCTGTTACCCAAGAGTCCCTCTAAGTAGTAAGGTGTGTTATCTCGGGTTCAGCCTGCTTTTCTTAGTACATACTACATATCTTTGGGACATTAGGTGATTTTTTTTAAAGATTATGCAAACAATTGCCTAGAAAAATGTAAGATCAAAGCTTTCCCTACTTTCTTTGTAGGTTTACCTTGCCTGTCTTAACATCTAGAATCACAGAGGAATCCATCTAGGTCAGTAGTTTTCAATTAGAGGCGATTCCCACCTCTTCCTGACTCCAGGAGTTGTTTGGCAATGTCAGGAGACATGTTTGGTTATCATGACTGGGATGGGGGATGTGTCACTGGCAAATAGTGGCTAGAGACCAGGGATAGTACTGAACAACCTGCGATGCACAGGACAGTCTCCCACAACAAGGAATTATCTGGTCCAAAATGTTCCAGAGGATGATAAATCCTCTTCTACCATCCTCAGGGAGTGATTTTAAAGATATTTCAAAGGTTTGGTTTTGTTTTTCTTTTGATTTATTTTATTTCTCTTTCTCCCAAGTTATAGCCATCTTTCTATAAA